CAGTAAAGTAATGCTACTAGAAGCATAGTGATTTTGCAATTTGTATAGTATTTGTGAATTCAAGTTTCTGAAAATTATCAAACATTAAGGATCTGATTGCATGTAGTATTGTCTATAGATGTGCAAACATCAGAGAAAGAACGCAATTTGACCATGTGATTTTATGTTGCTTGTGCAGATATGGATAAAAAATAACACATCGGTATGCAGAGGACAAATTGATTATGCAAAAGGCTCTTCTCTTGCTTTACGAAGCTGCTACATGGTCTCTTTTGTGGTACCTTTATGGCAAAGGAAATGCATCTAACCTTGAAAAGTTGTTCTTGAAAGTTGATTTTTTATTTATATTTACTAGTTGTTATTTTTATTTTTTTACTCTCAATTGATTTTTAATTTAACTCATAACCCTAAAATAATAAATGCTATACGGTAAACTCTAGATATTAAATCTTAACTAACCATTTAAATAATTTAATAATAATTTTTTAATAAAAAAATATCTTGAATTTGAATTACATGATTTATGAGTTAAGATGAGTTAAAAAAAGAAGATAGGTACCTCTTATGGTATAATTTATGATAAAAAAAAAAAAACTAAAATCTAAAATTATAATAAACCTTGACACTCAAAAGACTAAACTCTAAAATTTTAAACCCTAATATCTTAAATATTAAACCTTAAAATCTAAACTCAAACACCCTAAACATTTAATCCAAAAAAATTTAAGCTTTAACTACTAAAATATTGAACCCCTAAAAAAATTAAACTCTAACATCGTAAATAACAAATTTAAAAAAATTTAAACCCTGAAAAATTTTAATCCTAACACCTTAAAATTTTAATCCTTAAAATATAATCTTAACCCTTACACATTAAATACTAAACTCTAACATTACAATCACTAAACTCCAAAAAATCTCAGTCCCTACGTCCTAACTTAAAATAATCTTGTTGTTTGATTTTAATGTTAAAAACTTAAATGATGTCTTTTTAAAACAAGGACTTAAATCCTATAAACTTGAGATCTTCGGAAATAGGAATTAGTTGGCCCTTTCTTATAACAAGGAATTAAACGGACATGGCAACGCCACGTCTGCTTGGCCTTCTGTCGGTGATGATGCCATGAGGATCCTTCGGCCCGCAATAGCATTTTTCTTCACACAAATACCAGCAGCGGTAGTAGGCCCCACTTTACGTCGACATGTTTTTTCCCTTTTTTTTTTTTTTTTTTTTTTTTTTTTTTTCGTTTCCCGCCGGTATCGAGGC